AGGAGGAAATAACATGCACACTCAATAGGGTATGGAAATCTATCTTACCCTACAGGAAAGTAGGGGGAGAAGGGGACAAGAGAGCAGGAGGATGATAGAGGGGAGGGCAGATTGGGGCAGGGGGTAATCAGAAGCAAGCATTTCTGAGGAAGAGCAGGGTCAAAAGAGAGAATAGTATAAATGGGGGGGTGGGATACGATGAAGGGAAATATACTTAGTTTTTCACAATATGACTACTATCGAAAGTGTTTTGCATGACTACATATGTATAACCTGCATCAAATTGCTTGCCTTTTCAGTGAGGGTGGGTGGGGAGGGAGGAAGGGAGAAAATTTGGAACCCAAAGTTTTAAAAACACATGTTTAAAAAATTATTTTCACATACAACTGGGAAATAAGAAATACAGGAAATGGGGTATAGAAATCTATCCTGCCCCACAGGAAAATAGAAGGGAAAGGCGATAAGAGAAGGTGGGGAGGGATAGAAGGGAGGGCAGATTAGAAGAATGGGTATAGAGAATGCATGCCATCTTGGGGTGGGGGGAGGGATGAGATGGGGAGAAAATTTGGAACTCAAAATCTTGTGGAAGTGAATGTTGAAAATAAAATAAATAAATTTATTAATTTAAATAAATAAACAAATTTAAAACTTCCAAAAAATAGTATCATTAGTCTTCTAGAAGTGTACATAGATGTAGGAATCTTGACATATCTTATCCTCAGAAGAATCAAAATTACAAGTAACCCAAAGACCCAGGGATAGACTCATATTGGGAGTGAGTAGGTTGGAACATCTTACTAAGGATGATAAGATGTGTTATGAATGACACAAATGACTGGGGAAAGAAGTGACCTGGTTACTTAGCAAGAGTGAGTATGAATGCAGTGTTGGTATTCCTGAGATCTTGAAAGAATCAGAAGAAGGGCTGTAGTGTGTTATTTGGATCCTCTAGGAAAGGAAAGATTCGAGGAATGACATGGACAAAAACTGCACAAGGTGAGAAGGTGTGGAATGGTACAGTCTGCATTGCTGAAGGGAGTACCCCCAGAGAATAAATTGCAGATTCATCAAAAAATGTACTTCTCTATAAATGTCCTATGGTTATTTCTTCTTCGTTGTCTCTAAACTGTAAGCTACTTGAAGACAGGAAATATGTTTTCCCTATCTTAGTATTCCTTCCACAGCATTTAGGGTAGTTTCCTGAACATAGTTAACATATTAAAATATTAGATGAACCATGGAGCTCAAAATTATTTTAAGAGCATTTCACATACATTTTAATATTTCTGAGGGGCATCTAGGTGGTGCAGTGGATAGAACACCGGCCCTGAAGTCAGGAGGACCTGAGTTCAAATCCTGCCTCAGACCAAGCAATTGACACTTACTAGCTGTGTGACCCTGGGCAAGTCACTTAACCCCAATTGCCTAAAAAAAAATATATTTTTGAAAAATGGAGCTGATAATAGCATTATGCAATTGATGAACAATCTTTATATGAAGCAGAAAAGAAAATGTTGGTACTATGGTTTCTGTGAATGAGAAACGTGCTAGTGAGAAAAGAACATCCTAAAACCTGGACAATGCACACTGATTTGTTGAAAGTGAGAAAGAATCCAGACTGGGACAGCCAGGGGGCTTACCATGGAGATGCCCAATTAAGAACACTCTGTTCCCAGGTTGATCCAGAAGAGTGCCTTGTCTAAGAATAGATTGTTGTTGAATTAAATCAAATAAGTTGAATTGAATTAAGGAAGGCAGATTGGTATTGGAGTTAAAATCCATTGTGGGGATGAACTAATTTCTTCTGAGACACATTTCAAGCAGACTGAAAGACATGGATATGCCCTAGAACAAACCAGTAGAAAGCTTATGATAAGTGTTTGTTAAATTCTTTGCTGTGTAGCAGTGTTTTGCAGACCAATTTCTGAGGGGCAAAGAAAAATCTTTAGCACCTAGATTCATGAGGTTCTGGGAAAGAGTCTCAGACAGACAGCATTGTTTCCTCTCACCTGAGGAGAAGCTATCACAAAAAAGATTTGTGCACTCGTAATACAGAGATGGAAGGAGGACCAGGGCACATAATTTGAGCCATGGACATGGAAAGAGAGTACTTGCTGTTATGGCCATTCCCACCATTGCAACAAGGGGCCTAAACTTTTGTCCCATCCCACCCCCAGTCCCCTGAAAAGAGGGACTGTGACTGATCAAATTTGTTGAGGAGGAGGAGGATGGTATCGCTTTCCCTCTCTTCCTCCTTTTTCACGTTCTCTCTCTTCCCCTCCTAGAAAGAATGAGTTCTTGTTCCAAAATTTTACTTTTCCTTAATGTTAGACCTTCTGCTTAAATTAGTTCCAATACTAGCTAGTTAAAGAATTGATCTTTACTTTTCTAGGAATGTGCTTCATTTGTAATTTGTAAAACGGAGGGCAGAGAGAAAAGTAGAGCAGTAGCTGGCAGAGTATGAGAGAGAAATAAATCAACAGAGAGGTTGGTGTCTGTCTGAATGTCAGGACAGAAGGAGTAAGCTCTTCTTTCCCCCTGAGTGAGGGCTCAGGAATAAAAATGAGAGAATAACTTAGTTATATCGATTTCCTATTTTAATAAATCTCCCAATATGGGACAAGACTTGATCCAGGTCTCTGACTTTAAAAATAGCTTTTAGATGATTGCTGTTAAGTCACATTGTACTATACATTGTTTTCCTACCCAGGCACATGCAAAGAAATCTCTTTGTAGATAGGGAGGTGAGGGCAATGTCTAGAGGAAATGCCATGCCTGGTAACAAAAGAGGAATTCTCTGGAGAGGGCTAGGTAATACCTACATTCCAAAGGGAATTGCCTAAATGAGAGTAGCAAGTTTCCTCTTTATAAATCATCAAGTACACAGCCAACAATAGTTGGGATTGATCATTTGTCTAGCCAACATTGGTACTAATTAAAACAGATGGTATAAACATAACTTTAAAAAACAGCAAAATTTTGGAGCACGACTTCATTGTCCTTGATAAGAGAAAGAGAAGAGAGGAAAAGAGAAGGAGGTTGGTGAAGAAACATCACAACATTCCTTCCCAGCAAATGTGATCAGCCAGTCTCTCTCCTTTCAGCCAAGGTGCAGGAGAGGGTCGGGGAGGGGGGGTGCGGGGGGAAGGGGTAGGAGCGGGAACTTGTGTTGTTTAAAATCCTGGATGTGATTTGAATGCTGGCCCTGTTGGCAGCAAGTGTTCTCTCTTTCTCTCTCATCTAGCTCAAATCATGTGTCCTTTTCTACTTCTAACCCTATGTTCCCAGCATACACCTCCATCTTCTAATGGTCTCTCCTTCCTTTACTATATACTAAAGTTGTGTATATAAGGGATTCATTTTTCCATCATTGAAAGACTCTTCTTTTTTTTACTAGATTTAGGAACTCATTGAAGACTTTCCTCTTCCCATAGAAATTAATCTCTGAAGTCCTGCCATAGCTGAATGGGTTTTCATAAGAATCTTCCAGATAATCAGAGTCTGAACCTTCTAGATCAGTACTAAGCCTTAATGGATTTCATAGTCTGTCCCTGATCCAAATCTGTAGCATTTGTAGCTCCATAACCATTGCAGGGGTGAAATGTGAAGTACGATCAAATGGTGTATATTGGGACGAGTCAAATGGCTTGGAAATTTTATGCCTCTAAGGTGTTTTAATAGCATGTGTCATGATACTGTTTTGTTTAAAACTGACTTATCATATGGCATATAGACTCTATCAGTAGTCTCCTTATTGGTGTCTAATAGCCTACATGGCAGATCATTCACTGTTCTTCCTTCCATTCCCTCTTAAATCTGTTTATTAACAAAGCAAACCATTCTGTTAGCTTTTCCAGGTATGAGTCTCATCCCAAATTTTGTTTTTACCTCATATTTATCTCCTTGTGCTAACATTTCAAGTTTGTTTCATTTATTACCCAAACTATATATATATGTGTGTGTATGTGTGTGTGTGTGTACATATCGTATATATACATATATATATGCATGTGTGTATATATATGCATATGTATTAGTGTATGGATATAGAAGTCTGTCTAATCCTCTTCTCAGTTATTTTCTTATGATAATTACCAGCACTCCTACTATTGTTCTATGTCAGGCCTGTTGTCCTCTAGAGTGCAATATTTTTGTTTTTGCTTTATTCTACATCTATGATTTCACTGGTATAAGCCTTTCCCATGAGGAAAACAACTTCTACCATGTACTCCAGCAACTTTTCTGCAACTTCTATTCTTGAAGAGTTTCCTGGGGCACTAAAAGGTTAAGTGACTTGCCTAGGGTAGAACGATCAGTATGAGACAGGAGCAGGGCTTGACCCCAGTCTTCCTGCTTCTAAAGCTAGCTTTTTTCCAGTTTTTTTTTTTTCTGTCACCTCTGCCAATCTGCTTTCCTTTACAGTTCAATGAGGAAAAGCTTTCACTCCCCTCTCATACTTCAGCCTAAAGGCTTCTTGATCAATTTGCTAGATTTCTGATCAAACATATTTTTTCCTGGTCTTCATAAGATACGTTCCATCCCCTGCTATGAACTCCTCTTCTGTATTTATTGCAATTCATGGTCCAGAAAACCAAATCTCATTCTTTGATAACATACACATGCTGTTACACCTTTCTCTTACAAAGTTATGACTTTTAGCTGGAAGAAGAAATGAAAAGACCATTTGTTGCTCTACATTTCCCACAAATGGTCTGTTCATTTCATCTTCCAGCTAGAAATATATTACATGTTTCTTCTGATTAAACATTCTATTTCCACATGATCAGTCTTGGCAGTCTCTACTTTATGTATTAGATAATAGACACCAGAAAGTCCTAATGCCTTTGGATTAGAGAAAGCAGAGTCATTCTTTTACTCAGTTATCTTCACTACATAGGTTGTAATAAGGTAAAAATAAAACCTAGATGAATTTCATAATTTGAGAAATGAATAGTGATTAAAAATAAAAACAAAAATAAAAATCTCTCTTTTTTTGACAGACTGGAATGGGGCATCTGCGTGTTACAAAAGATGGTCTCCGTCTGGAAGGGGAGTCTGAATTTTTATTCCCACTGTATGCCAAAGAAATTCACTCCAGGCTGGTAAGTAAAGAACAAAACACTTAATATACAGTAATCAAAATCAAATGCAAACTTAATATTAAGTGTAGAAATTCATAATGTTATAGAGGACACTTCATAGAACGTATATACCTTGCTAAATTGTCTAAAAATGCTTGGGAGTTTGGTTATGGAACTAATCTCTAGCAACTGCATTTAGATAGTAAATGAAACCAATTTTCATGCACTTCAGAATTTGAATTTGGTGGTCACTGTAATTTAGACCTGAAATGAAAACCTCAAACACAAATAATTTCAGCTTTTATCCACTATTGCAAAGCAATTTAAATTCAAAGGATTTTGAAAGCATTCCAAATTGTCTGAGAAGCTTAAAAAGAATCTTTTTCACAGTAGGGTATTCTTTACTAATTATAGAATATTAAGGTTAAATAGGACCCTTTATCAGTAGATTAAACATCAGTACTGAATGGTTATGTTAATAGAGTACAGTAGGGCTTTGAAAGCATATCTGCCTCAATATAATCTTCATTTGCTTCCCTGGCATTTAACTCTACCTCTAGGATAGCCAATCATAAAATTACATTACTATATAGTAAAGTATAATGCCTCCATAATATGGTTCTGTTTTTCTTCCTGTAGCATAATAAACATAAAATATAATATGAAGACTCTAAGTTACATCAAAAAAATTTTTTTAAATAAAAATTTTAAGTATCCACCACCTAGCCCTATCCTGGGATAGCCTGTGACCATGAAGGCATTGTAAGGTCTGCCATGGTGTCCAACCTCATTTGTTAACCTTATAATTTATGTGGTGAACTTCAGGAAATTTGTACTACCTGAGGGTACCCTGGGAAGCTGCTCAAGTTTTGTCTTTAAAATATATGCCTTTAAAAAAATAAACAGGCCCCATGCTGCCTTCTATGATATCTCGAGAGAAGGGGCTGTATAGGTTTTTTAAAAAGAAAAACTTTTTCCAGGTAATTGAGGAAAACACTCTATGCCTTTCTCTCATTTCTCTGTCTTAGCAAAGAACCATTGAGAAGAACTGGAAACCCCTAGAAAAGTTGGTTTCCTTGCCTTAAGTCAACCCTTATTGCCCCCACCCTCCCATTCAGTCAACTACATTGGCTCCCTATTACCTCCAAGATCCAATAGAAAAATCTTCTTTTTGGCCTTCAGAACCTTCAGAACCTGGTTGCTTCCTATCTTTCTAGTCTTCTTACACCTTACTCTTTCCACATACTCAGATCCAGTGACACTGGCCCTCTTCTTGTTCCTCCCACACAACATCCCATCTTCAGTGTTTTCCATGACTTGTCTCCTATGCCTGGAAAGCTCTCCCTCTTCACCTCCACTTGCTGGCTTCTCTGACTTCCTTCAAGTTTTTGCTAAAGTCTAGACTTCTATAATAAACCTTTTCCAGGTCTTCTTAATCTTAGTTTCCCCATGAAACTACCCCAATTTATCCTATATATATATATATATCTTACTAGTTGTTTGAGTGTTGTCTCTCCCATTAAATTGTGAGCTCCTTGAAAGCAGAGACTGTTTTTTGTTTGTTTGTTTGTTTTGCATTTCTTTGTATCTCCAGCATTTAGCACAGTGCTTGGCATAGAGTAAACACTTAAAAAATGCTGGTTAACTAATGACTGACTGACCCATAGTCATAAATTGTCATCAAGAATTTTTTGCACAACCATTATCACCAGAGCACTACACTTTAATATCAGAGGATATAAAAGAAATACGAAAAGCTTGCTTTAGAGTTGGAGAATGAAAACAAACATACTTAAGGTGACCTAAGAACAATATAGAAGCAATTTATCACCATTCCCATGTTGATATAGCACAACCTGAATAAATAAATGCTGAGTAAGAATGAAGTGGAGATCAGGGATAATTAGGAACTATTATTTTACCTTTAGGAGTTTCTTTTTTGCACTTCTTTTACAACCCAGAAATCCTTTTGAATATCAAAACTCTGATTTTGTGATACACAAGGAGGAAACTAGGTCCATACTACCCTTAAATGGGGCATCTTATAAAATATTCTAGGGCATAAAGGAAATAAAACAATAAAAGGGTATTTCAGACGTGTTTGTTCTTAGGCACCCATGGAGTCTATAAATGTAACTTCCTCATAGTACTGAAAAAGCAAAATTCAAGTAATAATGCTCATCTCTACAATACTCAGTGAAAATTAATTGACCCTTGACCATATTCTCAGAAGGGCCAATCTGGTGTTCTGACCCACTGGCTAGAAGGGGAAGAAATTCTACAACTCCTTATTTGATTGGGCATCAAGCTGATGCAACTTGCCTTTCTTCTGGGGCACCAAAGGACCCCAGCTAAAATTGGCATCCAAAAAGATCTATATTCTCCATAACCCCTACCCATTAACCCAACACCAGCCTTCCTGTCACTGTCACTTCCTCCTACTCCTCCTATCTGGACACTGATCCACTATCTCCACCCCTGGTTCTAAGGATCCTAGAATCCCTCTTCCTCTGACCTCACTCCCTTCTTCTCAATAGTGGTGGGCTACTGTTGTGGGACAGACCCCTGATGCATCCTAAGGACTCTCAGGCCTTGCTGTCTGCTTTGTATCTGGACCCTTGGGGCCTTTCCATCCACCCTGCAACTGAACCCTCCTTCATGTGTTATCTTTACCAATTAAGAATGTGAGTTCCTTGAGAGCAGGAAAAGTGTTCTTTTTTTTTTATTTCAATTTTTATCCTCAATGCCCAGCAGAGTGCTTCCTAAGTAGTCAGCAATTAATAGATGTTTTCCCCTACTAATTCATTCATCACAGGTTCAATACTTTGTCCTCTTAACTGCTCTAGAGAAAAAGCTGCTTTAAATTTTTCTGTCTACCAGCAAGGGTGGTGCCACTGGATTAAGAATTGATATTCCAAGACCTCATAAGGAAGGTGTAAAGACCTGGGATGGTCCAAAGAATTCTGGTTATGATAGAATGGAATAAAAAAGGAAAGAAAGGTGGGGAAAAATAGCTATTTTCTATGAGGCTTGACTGCTTGGAGGATATATAAATAACATTCCTTCATTGCTCTATTCCCACTGAAGTCAAACACTGTGAACTATCTAAGTGTGCCTTTGGAAAGCCTTTTGCTAGTCCTTCACTGCCCTTTATATAATAACCTTTGTGTGACTTCAGGGAAACACCTAAAAACCTGACCATAAGCATCTGCACTATCACTTCTGCTCTGTGGTTCTTTTCTTGCATTCAACAGGCATGTTCCTAACCTGAAAATGAAAGGAAGAGTGAGGTTTCTTCCCACAAAACCTGAAGATGTATATTGTCAAGCATATGTTGGAGAAATAGGCACAAATTTAACCTGGGAAGCAATTATGTCCCCTTCGTATTAAAGAAAACTTTGGGAAAATATTACTTTTCAGGTTCAGTGCCCTACTTATGTGATGTATTTTCTGCACTGGAGAAGAACAAAAGAGCATTAAGAATTTTGTCTCAGGTCAGATTAATAACCCTTTTCTCCCAGCATTTCATTTGGAAAGAGGCACTAAGGGAATTTTTCTTAGCCAGGTTGGCTTGTCCTTAAAATGTTAAGGAGATATTTTAACCATCTACAGCTTTCCTTCCTAAGCCACAGCTTGCTCATTCATGAATTTATCAAAATGCTTTTAAAAATAAATTTGGGGTCTGCCTATACCATTTCATGGGATAACAAGGGCTCCAAAGTATCTCTAGTACATTAAGCTTATCTTCTATGCCTCTTCTTAGTTGTTATGAAGGCTCTTTTGAGTATACTCCTTGCCATACTAGAGGATTTGGTAAATAATTATGGTGTGGGCCCTCATTATTGTATACACTTTGATCATATTCCCTATTGATTTCATTTATCTGGAGCACTGAAGATTGCTAGAGTAGTAGAGTATGTTCTGGCCCTCTCTCTCAGACACAGGCTGCTCCTCCCTCAGGATTATAGGGGTACCCTGTCAGGTTAGAGTTTCTCACTTCTCCACATACATCATCTTGTGCCCCCACCAGCTGGATTTCCCCTTTGCTAGAGGCTCGTGATTAGCATTCCAGTTCCATTCAATCGCTTTACATCCATTAGATTTTATAAAGGAATATTTACTTAAAATAAATAGCAAAAATAAATTACACTATTCTCCCACTCACCCAAAAAAAAATCAAAGTTCATGATCTCTCCTGGTCACTGGGGAAGGTGAGGAAAGGAAGAGAATGAGTGTTTATATAACACCAGGCACTTTTACAAATATGATCTCATTTGATCCTCACAACAACCCTGCAAGGTAGGTGCTATTACTGTTACCATTCTACAGCAGAGGAAACTGAGACAAATAGAAATTAACTGACTTGCTCAGGGTCACACAACCAGTACGTATCTGAGGCCAAATTTGAACTCAGGTCTTTCTGACTCTAGTCCCAGTGCTCTATCCACTTCACCACCACCCTCTCCTCTGAGGGAGTAGGCTCAAAAATTAGTTTAATTCCTACATAGCATCACTTCTGCTAAGTACACATCCAAAAGCAAAATCTCTGCAGGATTAGTCCTTGTCTCAACTACTGCAGGGATGGGGTCCCAAAGATCACTCTCAAAGATTATCCCTTATTCCAAGGGTCATCAATCCTGTGCTGACTAAAACCTAGCCTGTATTCCAACTTCCTGATTCCTATGGCTCACTTTCACAACTTTTCTAAATACCCAGGGACACAGGTTTTACTCCTTTCACCTAGAATTGGAAAGAATAAATGAAAAGTCCAAAGACCAAAGCCTGTTTCTGTTGTCTCAGAGAAAAGAGGGCCCTAAGTCCCCTCCCCTTATAGAATGCTCTTTCACCATACTCTGTGAGTATTGAGTCATTGATATACCCCAAGAGCAAGTAATGGGGGAAAAAAGAGGTGACTGATGTTAGTAGCCCTTTATGAATGCCTCAAAAGCTCATCAAAGAGCCTCTCCTTCACCCTAGGGTTAGCTAACCAGAAACAGCTGTAGATTTCTACACATGTTCCA